TGAGAAGTAATTGTATTTTTTGTTTGAAAATTAATACTATGATCACAAAAACGACACATAAGTTTTCCATTATCCGCAAAAAAATCTTCAGAAAATTCTCGCGTACGCGATAAAACAGTAACTGTAATAGAAGGTGTCATTTTGATCAAAATTTTTAAGAGATAAAAAAATTGACATTTATTATTACAGAAAATTAAAGGAAAAAAAAGAATGGAAATTATGCAAAAATTTAAATATTCTTCCATTATCTTTGTAATAATTATTGGATACATAACGATAATCCTTCTACTCGAAAGATTTTAAATTAATTTCTTCTACTGATCTGTGATTATTATTGGTTAATTATCACGTGTCATAAAAAATTTATCAAAAATTCAAAAAATTCATTTTACTCCATTATACAGCAAAAATTCCAATTTATTCATTTATTATAAAAATGGAATTTTTCCGGATCTCTGATTCAGATTAGATTCAAATTGATCAGAACACTAATATCTGATTAAGAACAAGTAAGTATACTTTAATATAAATTTATTATTATAAGTATATGTAAAAATAAAAAAAATATATAATTTTTAGTTATTAATCTAAAAAAACTAAAAATATTGGTCAGTATGATCAACATATATTTATAAAAAATGTATTAGAAAAAGCATTTTTTTTTATGCAAAATATTTTACGTGAATATATAGAAGGTAAGCTATTAAAATCATGTTATAGATTTTATGATTTATTATGTTCGTAACTTGATTTTAATAGCAAACCTCCTATATGATTATAAATGATATTTTTATTATAAGATTTTTGAAATAAGGATAATAGTGATTATAGGTAAAATGTAACTATAAACAATAGGTTTTATATAATAAAAATTTGGAACATCTAACTAGAATAACTATATAGGATAATGTGATTATAACAAAGGTAATTATAATGAGAGTTAACTGTAATTATAAAAATTGACAATTTAAAAATATATATTAAATTTAAATATATAAATAATATTTTCTTATTAATAAATAATAATAATTTTCTCTTGCTAACTTATATTTAAAAGCAGATTTTTAGAATTTATTTTTCTTATATAAATTATTTTTCTTTTTAAGAATTTATTTAAGTAGTAATAAGTTATTAATTTTTAATATACCTTATATTACTTTAAATATTTTTTTTTTTTTAGTTTTTTTTTATTAATTTTGTATTAATTTGTGATCATTATTTCTTATTTATTTATTTTCTTTTTATAGGATTTAGATTAATAGTTACTTTAGTTTATTATTTTATTATTATTATTATTTTTTTTTTACTATACTTATAATTTTAAATAGAGAATATAAAGATTTATAACTTTGTGTGTATTTATCATTTAAAAACAGTAACAATAATATAACCAGTTGTTTAGAACTCGATTTTGTTTTAAATTAAGATAATTAATTTTATTTATTATGGTAAATTCATTAGCTATATATAAGAATAATTCTTTTAATCGGGTTTGATTGAAATTTTCTCCGAAGTTTAATAATGAACTTGCTACTTTCTCTTGAATTAAAAATCTAGATAAATTTATAGATAACTAATTTGTTTTAAATGTATACTAATTACATCGGAAAACAGTTTCGTATCGTCCAAGAAAAGAAAATTTGAAACTTGAGAAATTCCGTAAAATTTGCAAATAAATTAAAAATGGTTTATTTCACGTATTTGTTCATAAATTTACGATGGAAATCACTTCGCAGAGTATCATTAATAAATCGTTTTTTAGGCTTATCATCAACTCCACGCGCTTGATTCTTAAAAATTACATCATCATCCCACCTAAAAAGAAATACCGACGTCAAATTTTAAAAAGGGTAATTTTAAACCAATTAACATTTCTATTTTTTTTTAAATTACCTTCTCTTAACACTGAAATCTTTGTTAAGAATGGGATTTCCGACTAATGCCTCTTCTTGCCTTTGTCTTTCATCTGCTTCTAACTTATCGAATTCCTTTAGAATGAAAAAAATTAAAGGGAAGGTTATGAAATCGTTTTTAAAAAATGTAATATTCAAACAAACGATAATATTTACCTGTCGTTCTTTTTCTTCTGCACGTTCCTTTCTAATTTTCTCTAATTCAAGTTGTAAAGCTATAGCATCATCTTCCTCATCTATATCTTCACTGTACAAAAAAAAAATAAACGTTAAATTCAATTAAATAACTTTAATAAAATTTCCCCCCAAAATTATAAACACCTGTCATCACTGTCTTCATCACTATCATCATCACTGTCATCTTTATCCAAGACAGCAGCTTCTATTAACAATCTTCGACGCTTTTCAGCCAATTGATCTTCATTGAAAGAGAAGGAGCCATCACGAAAAGCTTCCCCTTGTAGTTTCTCAAAGTGTTCTCTTTCAGCTTTTAAAAGTTCTTCTTTGAGATCTATTTTATCAATTTCTTCCGTTGTGAGCTGACCTGTTTGCCTATTTATAGATTAGCAAATAAAGGTTGTGAAACTAAATAGATTATACACTGTAAATATTAAAGATTAATCTTTACCTGTACTTAAGCTGAGTATGTGCTGCAAGATCTCGAGAGCTATATTGTAAAGTTGGAGCTTTACTATCATAACCACGAGCAGGATCAAACGTTGGTCTAGCAGCGGTAGTCATATTTGTTTAAAAAAACGTTGAAACTAGTAAGAATTAAAGTATTCGGTTAAAGTTAAACAACTGGAGGAGAATGAATGAATATTTTTTAAAAATAACCGAAAATTCTAGCGGCAAATAAATATGATAAATATGTTGTGCAACTGGTAGTTAGATCATGTGATGAACATATTAGAGGTTCTAACGTGTCGCTTTGTTTACTAACGCGGATTTTCGACGGAAACTTGATATCTCTTATTCATAGTAAGTTTACTCAATGAATTCCTAATTTTAAAAAAAAATTTTCTTTTTGAACCTCTATTCGTTCAATCTATACAAAAAAAAAAATCGAATTCAAAAAGTAATGAATAGCAAGAATAACAAGAAATCATCAGAACGATCAAATTCGCTTGATATTGATGAAAATACCTTTCGAGGTTTGAAAATTACTGCGAAGGAAAAGCAAGATTTATTGGATAAGTTGGAAAATGAAAGTTTGTTTCAATTTATTATCGTCCCTCTGATTCAAAACGAATTAAATCACGTGAATTCATAATTCTAATTGAAAAAAACAAAATTATATATTATTAAAGTGAATGTACGTATTCAAAAACTCAAGCAGCAAGCTGAAGAGTTTGCCAAAGATCTTATTGCATGTTGTGAGCGAGAAATCAATAATCTTCCCAAGGAAATTAGACAATTACCTTTGGATGAATTTATTAATCTTTATCATGCTGATCCGGCTGAATATTTTGAACGTTGTATACAAAAATTATGAAATAACGTTTTTATACTTTTAGTATGATAAATCAGCCTGGCTATTTATTAGGCTACATGCAAGGAAAATGTCTTATCAAATATTATAAATAATTGAGAAAAATCTCGCAAAGATCAATCATGATTAGTTTTTAATCGGAAAGAATATTCTATTCAAACAGATCAAATCGGATTAAACAATATAAATAAATAAATTTATTTTAACCATTTTACAAATTTTTATACAAAAAAAAAAAAAAAAATTGTCTTTAAATAAGCTAATTATATAATACATTTTAAAAATAAGTATTATATATGATTAAGCAAATATTAATAAAGGAAGGAATAATAATAATAATTATGAATGATGTGATAATCAAGGAAACTGTTGATAATAAATCAAATTATTTTTTTTTTTGTTTTTTTAACTATGTTATTAAGTTGTCAAATAATAATGATGAAAATAATGAATGTAAAGTTTACCGATTCACAAATACAATCATATTATTTATATGTATGAGGGGGAAAAAAAAATGCTAAAAGTCTTTCAATATTATAAGAAATAGATTTTAACTAAACTAAATAATTCCTTGATGGATATATATGGTAAATGAGAATGCATCACCGAATCCTGTGATTATATAAACGAATACGATATGTGCATCGTATTGAACCGTTTACATCAGTCATCGTACAATAAATAAAATTTTATCATTGACGTTAGCAATAGATCTTTACTATAGAATCTGCACCACCACTTGCTATCCAAGGTAAAGAAGGATGATATTGAACGGACAACACTCCTTCGTCTGATTTTCGACGATGTGTTACAAATTCTTGAATACAATGTCGAGTCGATACGATATCCCACAGACGAATGGAACTATCATGTCCTATTAAAGGTAAGAACATGAAAATATTTAATATATCAATAATCTAACTGAATAATTAAAAATAACTTCATATAATAATACCTCCTGATAACAAAATCATTCCAGATGGATCAATGTCAAGCGACGTAACTGAATCCAAATGGGCTTGCATCGAATAAGTACATTTACCTAAAATGATAAAAAAGAAAAGGTGAGCGAAAAAATAATAATTACTTTGAAAAAAATTTAAACAAATGATTACCGCTATTAATGTCAAAAAATCGAATGTATTTATCCTCATGTGCTGAGAATATTAAAGACATTGTAGGATGAACGATAATACGATTGATCTGTGTTTCGGGCGTGTTATCATACGTATCATCACTCTTAAAAGTTAAAATACTTTGTCCGCTTTTAATATCAAATAGTTTAATGATAGAATTTTGATATGATACAGCAATCTTCTTCAAATCACTGTGTACAAAATCTACCGAAGTTGGTATAGGGGGACGACCTTTAAATAAAGCATAACACAACGTTAACAAAATAAATGTCGTTTAAAGAAAATTTTCCTTTTCAAGAAAAAAAAAAAATAAGTATTGAACATACCTTCTCCGTTAACAGTTTCTTCGCTATTAACTCCATAATAGCTCCAAGAGCATTTCAAAGGTGATCCTTCAGCCTCAGTATCCCAAATTTTGACCGTGCCATCGGCAGATGCCGATGCCAACAATTGGGTATTTTGATTAGGCACGGGGAATAATCTTAAATCCCAAATAGCATCCGTATGACCAATGTAGGTGGTCAGGTTTAGTGAAGGATCTGATCAATATAATAATTAATTCTTCCCGACAGAGGAAAAACGATTTGACAAAAATACAAACAATGTTCTATGACTTTAATTTAGAAATTAAAAATTAAAATAATAGTTACCGACAGGACCATAAGTATCGCGTTTAGGTGAAGGAAAATTCCACACACGAATTGTAGCATCCATACTGGCCGAATAACACCTTCGTTGATCCGATTCCATCACAACCGAATTAACTGCCGCTGTATGTCCTCGGTAGGTCATAGCTGGTTCTATATCTGGAACGGATGCTGGTCTTTGAAATTTTAACATTTGTTAGAATATAAATCTTTTTAATAAGTAAAGATATTTTACATTTATTTAATATCGTACTTATGAGACAGTGGACCTTTCAAATCCCATAATTTTACAGTACCATCTTCGGAACCAGATAAAAACATGAGCTCAGTTTTATGCCACGAAAGAGACCTGACTGTATCAAGATGACTACATACGAAAAAAAGATATATGTAGCTTATAAGTTGACTTAGAAAGAAATTGAATATTAAGCAATTTTTACCTCCTCAGAGTAAATCTTTGTCTCCACATTTTGTGATCTGTACCGTTTTCCTGTTTTTTATCAATCTGAAAGCATTACAATCACTTCAATCATATAAAAAATAAAAGATATGTTTATTGAAATTAATTAATACCTCAGATTTTTGTGTACTTTCCTCTTCTTCAATATTAAAACTAAGCTCATCTAATTGCGGATCGGAAGCTGATAAAAAATATATTAATTAGAATAAAATGTTATAAATATACATTAATGAAAACTCGCTTAATCATGGATAACAAACCCAAAATTTCCGGACTTCTTCGTTTAGCATTTTTCATCAAATTCTTTACTTTGACATCTGATAGGCCAAACTTTTTCTGTACATCTTTGGTCTATTTCCAACAAAAGATATAATTTATTCAGAATGATAATTATGAAACTTTTTTTTGTTTAAAGAAAATTTAAAAAAAAAAAAATATATAAATATACCAATTGCTCCTCCTCTTCTTTAATTTCATTTGGGCTTTTTATAAATCTATTTTTTTTAACTTGATTGGAAATTTTCCACTCCCTTTCATTCTTTGCTTTATTATGTGTAGTAGAAGTACTATGGTCTGATAAAAATTCACTTTCTTTTTCACCATTAGTAACAACCGATCCAATTATTCCATTGTCTACTGATGATTGATTATTCGATGAAATATTGACTATGGAGTTTCCTTCAAATTCCGGTGAGGTTGGAGAAGATTGTTCATAATCGGATAATCTCCTACCACCTTTAACTAATTCACCTCTCGAGTAAGAGGGAATAGACCTCCCTTCTCGTTCCACAGATATAGAATTCGAACTTTCATTCAAAGGCATTGGATAGTTTAATGGAGGACTTGAAGAATTAGCTGAAAATATCGGTGAAACTATGGAGGGAGATGTAGGTGCTGGTCTGGAAGGTTTAATGGAAATATCGTCTGGGTTTTTTGGTGATGTTCCATTATATGCATTTACATTTTCTCCAATAAATATAGAATTATATCTAGTATTTGGCTTCCGCGTTGCATTAGTATTTCCATCCAAGCCTGCTGGATGATTTGAAAATGGACCATCTGGACCACTTGGATAGTTTGAAGTACGATTATTAACGGATAAATTATTCGTTGCAGCGTCCGTAAGATAATCGATTTCTTGTAAACAACTATAATTTAATAATTCTTGTTAAAATTATTAATATAAATAAAAAATTAATGAAAACTGATTTTTAAAAAATATTTGCATACGCTTTAAGAAGTTCACGACTTTTTGTGCGATAATTAGGATCTCTAATTGATGTTAAACTTTTGTATTGTAAAGACGCTGAATTCAATGTTGATGTCATAGTTGATGAATTTTTAAGAGATTGTGTATTATTTAACGTTACAGGCAATTCGACTGGATGACCATAGGAAATAACAATAAAATAAAGTAAATTGGTTCGATTTAATTTGCGACTGAAAAAGATAAGGTTTAAAATGAACCAAATAAGAAAACTTACGAAAAATTTTCAAATTCGCAACTTACGTCCTTCTTCATTTGCAGGTGTTGACACATTAGATGATTCTCCTGCTGGAGGTAAACCAGCCAAGTATTTTCTCCTTTTGTAAATAGCAATGTGAATTAATAAATTGACATAATTCATTCCGTAAAGTTTATGAAATAGAAAATAGAATGATATAATACCTTTCTTGTCTCAAGGCAAATTCCAGCATTTTAACACGTTTCATTAAATCTGTTTTCATTTTTTCAATTCCTCGACGCTCGCCTTCCAATAGTGCAATTCGAGCCTATTTATGCAAAATAATAAATGGTTTTTATTAATAATTCAACAACTTTTTAAGACGTAACATCAAAATAATCCCCAAAGTGTTTTGAAATCCAACTTCATTTCGAAACATACCTTCATTTCCGCGCGCTCAATTTCCCATTCATTTCTATCTCGCTCATAACGTCTCCACTCTGATTGAAGGAAATGAAGTACTCCTGGCAAGGTATATTCTGGTGGTTGAGGCTGTTGTACTTGCTGTTGCGGTTGGCCAAAGGTTTGTGCCATTATAACAGGTAAAATGAAAATATTTATACGTAAGAATAGTGTGATGCGGAAAAATTAAAGAAACAATTAGCATCATACAACGAGAGAGGTAAAAAAGAGGGACTATTGGATCCCAACAAAACGTGTTGACAAGTTTGTTTACAACTTTTTTAAAGGTTAAACATACTTTTTTATCGATAAACTCGGTCACACAAGTTACGTCATAGTCTTAACATCGTTATATTGTCAATTAATTTAATTGACAAACCATGAAAACCGCTCCAACTACTTAATTCTTCGGCATAAAAAAAAAAAAAAAAATACATCATGGAACAGGTATACTTCTGGAATCTAAATATTTTTACAGACGTAACTCGATGGGAGGGCAAAGTTAACATTTTTCTTTACATTTTTACTGCATATCTTTTTTCTTTATAGGTTTCAAATTTATTAATAGTCCTTGGGATTGTTCAAGTGGCTCGCAAATTAGATTTGGAGAACCCAGATGTATTAGTGTATGTTCGACTTGGTTATCTTTTTACTCAGACTATCATACTTGTAGCCTGTTTTTACCTTGCAACCAAGATAAAGGCAAAGAATGGTAAGTTTATCTTTGCATCGTTTTATTATTCAGTACTTTCAAGTTATGTATACTCACAAGATCTTTGTATTAATAGATACCACCACCCTCAAATATGTTGAGCCACCAAAGCCATTTACCAACGAACCAGAAAAGCCTATAGAAACAAATAATAGAGATTATGATCTTTCAAAAGTACAAGAATTACTCAAACAAACCTTGATTGGAGTTGCCTTTATGTGTGTTTTGCATTTTTATTGGAACTTTACTCAACCTTTATTTATTCAAAGTCTCCTTCCATTGAAGAATTTGTATAGTAATCAAGTGGTTAAAATTCATTTGTTTGGCAAACCAGCTGAAGGTGATTTGAAAAGACCATTTAAAGTAAATTCATCTTTTGGTCAATTTTTTCAACAACCACAAACCGATAAGGCATCTATTAAAAAAGCCATCAAAGCTTCAAGATCTGGTGGTAAAAAGGATGATTAAACATAGCAAAATCATTTTATCATCATCTATATAATTTCAATAATTATTGCAATGTAATCAGATATTAGAATTAAATAGGCAAGATTAAAATTGTATTATTTTATTTTATGCATTCTTCTATCTTAATTACACATTTTACACATTTTACACAGTTAAATCTTTCTTTAATAAAAAATATTAACGTTTTTGAAATTAATATATTATTACCCGAAAATATGATAAATTTTGTTTTTGTTCACTTTTTGCCTTTTTTCTTTTTACCACTTCCACTCCTATTTTCTGGTACAATTACATCACCACCAACTATATCAGGATTATCTTTTATTTTCTCTTGTGCTTGAAGAAAAAACATCAAATCTCTTATTTGTTCTTCAAAATCTTTGATTTTAGCATCTTTATCTTCAAGTTGCGTTTGCAAGTATTGCTGTTTAGTTAATAGAGATTTGGTAATCTAAATTTGTTTATTATGTAAAATCGATTTATTATTTTAGTAAAGGATAGATTTATTTACCAACAAAAAAAAAAATATTTAATTTAATATTACCTCCTTCTCATCTTTAAGTTCTCTTTCCAGTTTCTCTGACTTTTCAATAAATTTCTCAACTTTTCTTTCGACAGATTTCTTCTCTCTTATTAATGATGGAATCTTATCTTTTTCCAATGTTTCCTTTTCACTTTGAACTTTATCTTTATCCTGTTTCAAAGCAGAAACTTCATTTGCTAGCTTCTGATACTGATTGGTCAATTGTGATAATTGTAATGTTACGGAATCAAGTTTTTCTTCGTAAAATGTTCGTTGTGATGAAAGTTGAGTTGATAAAAGATAACTATATTCTAACCCAATGGCGTCAAGTTTATCCTAAGAATGGGGAAATTTTCTAATAAGTTAAAATAATCAAAATGGTAAAAGCTCATAATTATCACTCACCTGATTAACTTGATCATGTCTTTGCTGTTGTAATTGAGATGGTGCATCAGGACCGGGTAATTCCACTAATTTACCATCTGTTTTATTCTGTATTAAACGATGAACGTAACTAAAAAAAAAAAATTTCAAAAAACTACCATTATTACAAATAAAAAGAAAGAAATGAAATAAAATGATAAATTTTCCTCACCCATCACCGGCGTAATCCCACACTCTTTGAGTCTCCAATTCTAAAGCGTATAAATGGGAAGTTTCGTTATAATGACAATATGCGTGAGCTTCTTGATATCGTCCGCATCCAATGTTACCACAGACTAAGCATATCCACAAGTTTTCTGTTGCTCCACAAACACCACATTCATTTTGCTCCAGTGATGTATCATAATAGTTACGTTTCTGACTATATCGACAAACCGGACAACTTTTTACATCGTCATATTATAAAAGAGAAATATATCTATTTAATTCTATTGTTCATTAGTCGGTTTGCAACGATATATTTTAGATGGTGCAATTATATCTTATTTACCTGCTATCACCCCATTTACTTAAACAATTACAATGAAACGTATGTTGACATAGAATTGTGAGCAATCCTGTAACAGATGCGTCCATTCTTTCAAGACATACGGGACACGTAGGGAGTTCATGTAACGGGGAAGTGCTTTGCTTAATTTTATCATCTTGCGTAGATGATGGATCAATTTCACTTGATAAAGGTAAGAAAGGGTCATGTAAAAAAGGAAATGCATATGGTGGGATGGAAGTTGATTTGAACTCGATAGATTTGATATATACAACATGACATATCTCGGGCTAAATGAAGTGGAATGAATATCAATGATAATTCAAATTAAGTAATGTTGTTTTAGTTAATAATGAACCTACCTCCATTGAACTAAACGGACGAGCATTGAATTGTTTATAAAAATCTTTAGCAGCTCGTGCATGACGAAACTTCATTAACACTATAAACTTGTTCGGAGCTGAATCTCTGAAATAAAACCTTTGTAAATATATTTGAGAAGAAAAAAATAAAATTAATTTGCTAATACGTACCTTATAAATCTAAAGTGACTAACATATTTCCTTACTGGAGCAACAAAACTTAAAAAATCAGAAGCTGTCATATATGATGGAACAGCCAATACAGCCAATATTGTTGCGTGATTCCCAAGACTAGGAAGATCATCACGCTTTTCACTCTCGACTGAATTTCTTTCTTTATAATCAGAACTTTTTAAATTATCATTAGGAGTATTCATAATATTATCATTCGCGTGATCTTCTTCTTTTGGAGGAATTTCTTTGGGATCACGATAAAGATGTAATATACCATAACTTAGATTTGTTTTTCCGGAATTTAATGGAACAAATTCACCAGCTGGAGAAATAGTAGTTTTTTCACTACTAGATTTAGTTTTCTTTATAGATGAAGGTGAGATACTCTCTGAAGATTCTGTCTCATTTTTGTTTCCATTGTGATTATTGTTGACTGCATTGGTATTTAATTCTTCATTCATATTTTCTTCAATATTATCAAACCACTCAATCTCAATATTACCAAATCGAAAATCGTGAGTTTTATCAAAATTTAAAGTACGATCTTCTGTGAATTGAGGTAATGTAGCAGACGTAAAAGATTTTCTTCTACGAACAAATGTATTGCAATTAGATGATGATGAAGTGAGAACACCCGAAAAATTATTATGAGACTGGCTTTCTTTTGATACAGGAGTGGGAGGAATCAACGGTATTTCACTAGAGCGAAGATTTTTTGCTTGATCTACCGATTTTGATCTAACTTTCGACTTAATTTTTGACTTCGATTTATTAAAGCTATTGGATCTTTTTAATGATAATTTCTTATTAGAATTTGACCGGTGTGTTGGAAGCTTTTCGAAAATATCTTTAGGAACGAAATATGGATCAGAAGAATTATTTTGTTCAGAGGTTTCTTTTTTATTTATTGAAGAACTTGAATCGTGTAAATTTATAGCCTGAATACTACTAGTAAGAGGGTATAACTCGAATTTTAAATGATAAAAGTACATAATCCAAACAATTAGAGAGTGGTTTTATCATGCATTATAATTAAAAATAAAAAAAACGCCCTTAATAGTCACAATCACGTGAAAAAAATCTGATGAATGTTACACATTCTTTTGCGATTCATTGTTCCAGATACACAAGTTGACTTTTCTTTCAAAAAGAAAATATATCATTATTAAAAAAAAATGACTTCCAAACATTACAATATTTCAGTCAGTGTAACTTAATTAACATAACGTTATAAAAGTTTTAATAAATTATCCATTTATAGAAAAATTTATCATTTGATAGCTCAAATGCAATCTTTTTTTGTAAATTTTTTTAGATCTTTTCTATATTCTTACCATTTTATTTAAATAGAACAAATCTTGATTATTCTAACTATATTAATATTTCTTTTAGCTTAAAAATTTATTGATTCGAAATGGAACCGTAAACATTTAATATTGATATGCATATGGGAGGTAAGCTATTAAAATCACGTTACGGATCATATGATTTACTATGCAAACCTCCCATATATTAAATTTTGTTTAGTTACAGGTCATCCCGACAAAAAACAAAATCGTCCTTTTTGTAAATTAGAATATTCGATTGATTCATGTTTTTTTTGACCGATCGGCAGGGAATATTTGGAATTTAATGTAACCGTTGTTACTCAGGAATATACTGTATTAATTTGTAAAATTTTTCTTTTAGATCGGTGAAGAAAGTCGAAGTCACTGTAGATGGAGAGAAATATTTATGTAAACAAAGTTGATAATGCGTTGATTGTATTAATGGTTTATTGAAATGGAATCAAAACTTTTGTAATGGAATCTCAAACGAATTTATTTTTTT